TATAATCTATGAATCTATATATGTGTGTGGGTGATATATGAGAGTGTGTGTATATGTATAAACCATTTGAGGGTAAGTTACATATATCATAGCCCCTTACTCCTAAATATTTCAGCATGTATTCTCTAAGAATAGGGATAGTCTGTTACATAACCACAGAAGAGTCATCTTCATAAGTTTACATTGATACAGCATATTTAGCTAATATACTATGGTCCCTATTCTAATTTTGTCAGTTCATCTAACAATATCTTTTTGAGCATTTCCCCCATCTAGTACAGAATCCAATCCAGAGTTAGGTACTATACTTAATTATGTCTTGTTAGCCTCTTAATCTGCATCCTACATTTACATGTACATGTACATCCTATATTGTACATTTACATCCTACAATATACATCCCACATTAGGAGTATAAAGAAACCAGTTTACCTTGGTGGAATATTCTTTTGGACAGCCCATGTTGACGTCAATGCCAGCCACATCATTTTCTCTGGAAAAGGATGAAGGAGTAAAGGTAATAAATATTGAATTAGAGCAAAGAAGGTAAAATTAAAGGCATGGATGGGCCTGTGCTCATGAACCTCTTACCCTGTCCCTGACCCTATGAAACACACCAACCCCCAATGACAGAAGCTGAAAAATGGGAAAGAAATCCATCCGTAAAATGTGCACCTGCCTCATCTGAGCAGAAATCCAGAGAAAAGATATAACGTGTGCACACATTTACAAAGGGCTAGATGCAGAGGACTTTGCTACTTTGGAGTTGTATCAGATAACTCAGATGGGCACACTGAACTTGGCTGAAATAGTAAAAGTCATTTGTCAATGCAGAAAAGTGACATGAGCCTAAGAGCCCTTTCCCAGACGACAGCTTCTGGTGGAAGTTCTAGCACTGTCTGGTATGTATTAGGTTGGTGCAAAAGTAATTGTGTTTTTTTCCACTGAAAGTAATGGCAAAAACTGCAATTACTTTTGCATCAACCTAAATATTAATACATGTTAATAGTCCGTGATCAGCAGCAATAACTGCCTGAGTTCCCTCTCACTCTCTTTGTAATGATAACAATAGCTAACACTTACTAAGATCTCATTATGTACCACATGCTGCAAAGACATTTACATACATTACTTCATTTACCTTTCCCTATGTCAGAGGTTGGTAGCACTATTTTATAGGTGAGAAAACTAGGTTCTCATTAAGGTTAAGTAACTTATCTCAGGTCACACAGTTAACAAGTAGCAAAATCAGAATTCCAAACCAGATCTGTCTTAACTTCAAAACCTATCACAAACTATAGCGCACTCTCCTGCCTTTGTTTTTGTTTTTGAGACAGGGTCTCACTCTGTTCCCCAGGCTGGAGTCCAGTGGCGCAATGGAGGCTCACTGCAGCCTGGGCCCAAGTGATCCTTGCACGTCAGCCTTCCAAGTAGCTGGGACCACTGGCATGCACCACCTTTTCTGTAGAGATGAGGTCTGCCTGTGTTCCCCAGGCTTCCTGTCTTTGTTAATTCAGGAAGCAATATGTCTTACCTATACTTTGATACTTAAAGCTTTACGACTCATAGTCATTGGGGTCCCTGGAAAGGGAGTTTCATGAATAACTACAAAAAAACAGCTCCCCACAATACGCATAGAGGGTCTCTGAGATCTAGGGCACTGAGGGTACACATGAGTTCCAGGCCAGCCCTTGGATGCCACAAACAGAAGGAAACCAGACACTCTTTTTTTTTTTTTAAGACGGAGTCTTGCTCTGTCACCAGGCTGGAGTGCAGTGGTGTAATCTCAGCTCACTGCAACCTCTGCCTCCCGGGTTCAAGAGATTCTCCTGCCTCAGCCTCGTGAGCAGCTGGGACTACAGGTGTGTACCACCACACCCGGCTAATTTTTGTAATTTTAGTAGAGACAGGGCTTCACCATGTTGGCCAGGATGGTCTTGATCTCTTGACCTCATGATCCACCTGCCTTGGCCTCCCAAAGTGCTGGGATTACAGGCATGAGTCACCGTGCCTGGCCGGAAACCAGACACTATTAACCTGGAAATAGAAGGTAATGGGCTAGGAGGCAGAAGGGTGGGTCAACTCCAAAGTCACCAGGACATTAAACCCTCACAGCTCAAAGGAGAGGCAAAGGCAGTGCTAAAGACGGAGGAAGAACTTACACAAGCCTGGCCACAGCAAGGGCTCGCTCTGCGTCTGAAGTCCCCTGGGAACACAAGAGGCTGCATCAACCACTGCCCTGATACAGATACACATGCACTGACAAACACACCCATGCAGCACACACATACACACACACACCCCACACACCAATAACAGAGTCAGGCTGGCTTTCTCTTAAACAGCCAGCCCACTAGACTAGCTTGCTGCCAGCAGAAAAAGGTGGACTTGGAAGGTTGAGAAAATGTTATCAATACTATGATTACACCCAAACATATAAAAAACTTGAAAACATTTTATAGTGACCATTCAAACACTCACCATTTAGATTCTACAATTAACATTTTGCTAGATTTGCTTTATCACATGGTTACCCATTATTATCAATTTTTTAGAAACCTAAACATCATTCAGGATGTTTCTGAAAAAGTACCAAGAAATTCCCAAAGTGACAGAAGAGCACCATAGAGTCATCACAACTCAAATACAAATCTTAACTACTCTTGAAAAATCCTAATTTCTTTCTATGAGAAATATATATACACTACATAAAAACAAAGACTATGATCTGAGTAATCAATGCTAGGGATTAAAACAATAGAGAAATCATGCCAAACAGACAATTCCTACAAGTAAGTAAATTAAATTTGAGACTAGAGGCATACATGACTGTGATAGTTTGATTTCCGTAAACCGTCTCCAATAGTGTAATTACTCATGACTGGCTCTTTGGAAAACATTAAAGCAGATCTTCAGGAAGCCATCGTTGTGCAATGTACCCCAGGTATTCAACACTGGCCTGGCACAGGGCATGAGTTGGGAAATCCCAGGGGATGGTGAGACTCGGGAGGGTATGCAGCAATGGCGTCTCTCACCATCTGGAAGACCACCCTGTTCTGCTCTCTTTCACAGGTGCGGAAGACAACTCGATCATCGGGGGCGACAAAGTCCACTGTGCTGAGCACCTCTGCAAGAAAACACAAACACATAGCGTCACTCAATGAAGATGCAAATTCAACCCTAGCCTAAGTCCTGGAAGAAAACACAGCCAGAGTATAAGCTTGGAGGGGAAAGAGATCCTAAATGTATACCATTCTTACCAAAAATAACTATGCACATGGGAGGCTTCTGTGATGATGACAATGGTCTATTTCCTGACCTGGGTGATGGTTGTTCGTTTTGCAGTTACTTGTTCAACTGCATGTTTGTGTTTAATGCACTTTTTCCGAATGGTGGTTAACATTTTGCTGTGTTTAAAATGTTAAAACAGGGCCGGGTATGGTGGCTCACACCTGTAATCCCAGCACTTTGGGAGGCCGAGGCGGGCAGATCATGAGGTCAAGAGTTCGAGACCAGCCTGGCCAACATGGTGAAACCCCGTCTCTACTAAGAATACAAAAATAAGCCGGACGTGGTAGAGCGTGCCTGTAATCCCAGCTACTCGGAAGGCTGAGGCAGGAGAATCTTGAACCCGGGAGGCAGAGGCTACAGTGAGCCAAGATTGCACCATTGCACTCCAGCCTGGGGGACAGAGCAAGACTTCGTCTTGGGGGAAAAAAAAAAGTTGAAACAAAATGTACATACGTAGCAGTAGCTCACGCCTGTAATCCCAGCACTTTGGGAGGCCAAGGCAGGTGGATCACGTGAGGTTAGGAGTTCAAGACCAGCCTAGCCAACATGGCAAAACCCCATCTCTACTAAAAATACAAAAAATTACTGGGCATGGTAGAGGGTGCCTGTAATACCAGCTACTCAAGAGGCTGAGGCAGGAGAATCGCTTGAACCTGGGAGGCAGAGGTTGCAGTGAGCTGAGATTGTGCCACTGCACTCCAGCCTGAGCAACAGAGGGAAGCTCTGTCTCAAAAAAAAAAATGTTTGTCTGTTTCAGTTTTGGCCCAACTTTTCCCAGAAAACATCACTCTGAAGTTCAGCAAATTTACTATTTACTTACAGTGAGACAGGTGCTGCTAGTGGAAGGTTACTATATAACAATCAGTCTCCTATACTATTCATAGTTGCATATTTGCAAATGTGCCTATTTGCTAACATTTATTCGTGACCCCAAAATCAATACTTGTGATGTTTTCATGGTCATCCAACGACAGGAACAGAGTGGTGAAAGTTTTGAGTTGCCCGTTGTGCATGTTCCCAGCTGAGGTCAAACAAGGTGATGCTCTGTCTTCTCCCTTCAGCTCTCATACTGTCAACAAGTGGCCCTTTTGTGGTATATTTCATGCCACATTTCTGCATGTTTATGCTTTTTGTTGGTGATCTCACTGTTTAAAATGGTCCCAAGTGGCCAGGTGCGGTGGCTCACACCTGTAACCCCAGCACTTTGGTAGGCCAAGGCAGGTGGGTTACCTGAGGTCAGGGAGTTCGAAACCACCCTGGGCAACATGGTAAAACTCAGTCTCTACTGAAACACACACAAAAAAAATTAGCTGGGTGTGGTGGTGCATACCTGTAGTCCCAATTACTTGGAAGGCTGAGGCACAAGTATCTCTTGAGCTGGGAAGGCGGAGTTGCAGTGAGCCAAGTTCGTGCCACTGCACTCTAGTTTGGACTACAGAGTGAGACTGCATCTCAAAAAAAATAAAATAAAATGGTCCCAACCATACTGCTGAAATGCTGTCTAATGTTCCTAAGCACAAGAAGACTGTCATGGGCCTTACGGAGAAAATATACATCTTGAATAAGCTTTGTTTAGGCCTGAAATTATAGCACAATTACCCATGTTAGGGAGTTCAATGTTAGCGAATCAATGGTATATATTAAATAATATGCCTTTAAACAGAAACACATGGCTGGTGTGATGGCTCAGTCCTGTAATCCCAGTATTTTGGGAGGCTGAGGCAGGGGGATCACTTGAGGCCAGGAGTTTGAGACCAGCTGGGGAACACAGCAAGAACCCCATCTCTGCAAAAAATTTAAAAATTGGCTGGGCATGAAGGTGTGCACCTGAAGTCCTAGCTACTTGGAAGGCTGAGGCAGGATGATCATTTGAGCCCAGGAGTTTGAGGCTGCGGTGATCTATGCTCACACCACTACACTCCAGCCAGGGCAATAGAGTGAGACCTGGTCACAAAAAAGAAACCAAACAAAAACAAAGAAACACATAACAAAAGTTATGGACTGACGAGTTGATGAAAGTATGACCAGAGGTTTGCACAAACCTAAACCTTTGTTTCCCCCAGGGTCAGTGGTTCAGTATCTGCTCATCTGATGTTTAAAGCAACTTTACAGAAACAACAACTGTGCATAATGAGAAGCAACTGTATTTTATCTGTCAGCTTCCTAAAGAAGCTCCACAAATAGTTGCGACCATTATTACCTTTCAAAGATCACTAGACATGAAAAAGACCGAACATGGCAGATGGGAGAATATGCCTACCTCAAAGGCTGTCTTTAGAAATAAATGAGATCTTTGACGCACTTAAAGCATTTCCATACATGGACGGTGTTATTATCATCCCAGCACTAAACAGATGAGAAGGTTTTTAGGGTGGGGTAAAGGCGTGACATGTTGAGAGAGGTAATCAAAGTGATCACTGACAGAGACAGCTCATGACTGGCAGTAAGATGTGTGAGAGAAGAACCACAAAATCTTTGTGTGTTTATAATGCAACTCTGTTTATAACAGCAAAACACTGGGAACCCCTGTTAAGGCTCTGGTAAAATCAATTCTGACATAGTTGCCCCTAGGTACTGACATGGGCAAATGACCTAGTAGATAAGCAAATGGCAAAACAACATGTGTTGTATGATCTCACGGGGTGGAGAGATAAATGATATAGATATAGATACAGATACATTTTTTTCTCCTTATCTTTGACCTAGAAGAGGGATAAACATGTCATATTTTGTACACACACATTATTTACTATATGTATAGAAAAACACACATTATTTCTCTTTCTGATTACCTCTTTAGGTAGAGGATTATGGAGGATTTTCATTTTCTAGGTTATACAGATCTGTAATATTGAATTTTTTATCACACAGAAAAAAATATATACATTTAAAACAATTCAGCCAGGTGTGGCAGCTCACACCTGTAATCCCAGCACTTTGGGAGGCCAAGGCAGGTGGATCATGAGGTCAGGAGTTCAAGACCAGCCTGGCCACCATGGTGAAACGCCTTCTCTACTAAAAATACAAAAATTAGCTGGGTGTGGTGGCATGCCCCTGTAATCCCAGCAACTTGGGAGGCTGAGGCAGGAGAATTGCTTGAACCTGGGAGGCAGAGGTTGCAGTGAACCAAGACTGTGCCATTGCACTCCAGCCTAGGCAATAGAGGGAGATCCCATCTCAAAAAAAAAAAAAAAAAAGGATTTCACGAGCATATACATATGTATCAAAAACCTCAAGGAATATACCACAACTCTAATCAAAGCAGAATCAGCCTCATCAATAAAGTATCAGCAAAACTACAATTCATCACAATCATATTTGCACAGAGCACAGGGTGTCCACAGCACTTATATGTACCTTATCTTATTTGGTCCTCATTCCAACCCTATGATTTCAGTAAAGCAAAGACTATGATTTCATTTTACAGATAAAGTAATTGAGGCAGACAGAGGTCATATGGCCTGCCCAAGGTCACACACCTAGCAAGTGGCCAAGCCAGGGCCAATGCTAAAGCCATCCTGACTCCAAAGCTCCTAGAGTTCCTCCTATGCTATGATACATGGTGATTTCTATGCCAGCAAGCCTGTGAGTGAAAGGCACTCTTAGCCCGTTTCACATCAGGCTTTTTGTCATGGCCTCTGGAGATCAGTGACTGCTCTCAAGGGAGCATCTGATCTACAAAATTACTCAATGAAGCCAGGCAAGACACTTTCACCCCAGGCAAGGGCAGTGGCAGTGCTGCTTGAGCCCAGCAGGGCACATGCATCAGTCTGAAGCCAGATCTGTACTTACCATTGACAACTCTCTTGCACTGAATCATCTTGAGGTCGATCAGCTCCTGCAGAGGAATCAGAGGACGCTTGTCAGTCCTGAACATGTAGGCTCTGGGCATGAAGGATTTTCATCACACACCCAATGAGGATCGCTTGGCCAGTCGCCCTACTACCAACAATAAACCACAGCTTTTGGGACATGTAGTGCTATCCTCCCCACCCAAGTATGGCAAGCAGGAGCCAGAGTGAGCTACCCTAAATTAGCTGCTCTTCCCAGGAAACTTGGAGATGTTTGGAGCCTAGAATGAATGAACCACTTAGCCAGAAAGACAATAATCATCCAGGATGTAGTTACCTGGAAATTTTTCTCACCTACTGGTCTCAGCAGAAGTTCACCCCATCAAAGAATATCCCACCTATCCCTAAGCAAAGGGCAGGCATTGAAGGGCTCCTAAGAAACATCCAAGAACAAAACTGGAACCAGTGAATAGAAGCAAAGGGAGGAAGATCTGAGATGAACACAGGAAAGAAAAGTTTAAAACCTCTATCCAACATGGCTCACACTATGTGGAAATGAAAAGGGTGAGGTGCTCAACTCTGGAGATACTCAAACAGACTCAGGAAAGAAAGAAAAAGGGAGGTTTCTTCAAAATCACATCACAAAAATGGAGGAAAATCTCCTATCTGCCGGAGCACTGAGATTCTCTAATTCTTAATTGGAGACAAGACTGTTCTGCTTTGCTCTATCATAATCTCAGCACACACCTGTCACACTGCCCAGAAGTTCATGCCCATGGATTCTCGGGGTCCAGAAAAGAAAAGAAGAGGCACTCACTCCTAGTACTAACCCCCACACTGACTCCCTGTGAGCCCCAGCAGGTCACAACCCCAGCCAGGTGGGCACAATGACCTCCTACTCACTCATGGGAGTACCTAGGGACAATGGCGAAAGAATCCCCATAGTGTCCATGGGACTTACCCCAGCATACCCACCATCAGGTTAAGAAATGCTCTAGGTGTTTCTGTGGCCATTCTCTCCATGCAGTATTCAGGTCATCAAATATCTGATGCCCACTAGGCCTGAACAAACAAATCACCACAACCAAGCAGTTTGGATATGGTTGACATCCAACCCCCAAAAATCAGTGTGGCATCCCAAGGGATGGGCAGAGCCCAACTCAGAGTCCCGGTAGCCAGTGATCCTAGTTGCAGGGACAGGCAACAAGGCAAGTGGACAAGTAGGAAGGACTGAATGGCCTGTGCTTATAAAAATAAATTCAGTAGCCAAACTGAGCTTTGGTAGGGAGTGGAACAGGAAAAAGTAAGACATGTATCACATCAAAGATTGGGAAGTTTATTGGTTCCAAGTATTTACAGAAATCTCTGTCCAAACATTAGCTAACAATTAAGCTAACCCAGGAGAACTTTATAGGCCACACATGGCAACACAGGCCTTACAAAATTAGTTCAGAATAGTCACTAAGCAAACAAACAACAACAAACTCTGGCCAGACATGACGGCTCACGTCTGTAATCCCTACACTTTAGAAAACTGAAGCGGGAGGATTGCTTGAGCTCAGGAGTTCAAGACCAGCCTGGGCAACAAAGTGAGACCTTGTCTCTAAAAAAAATTTTTAAAACAGCTGGACGTGGTGGCATGTGCCTGTGGTCCCAGCTACATGGGATGCTGAGGCAGGAGAATCGCTTAAGCCCAGATGGTCAAGGTTG